TGGTTAAAATCAAGTAGATCTATAAACATATGAAAATCTTGAAAATGGACGGTGTAGATAATATGTTGTAAAATGCACTATTTTTGAGGCTTAAAATCTTTTTATTTTTTGTAGTTATACATCTCGATGTCGAGATGATCAATCAAAGGGTTTTTCAACATTAAAAGTACCTTTTCTGATAGATTTTTGAGGGGCATCCGTAGTTCTACATTATAAGGTAGCATCCTTATATAAACTTTTTCCTTAAAACTATTGAAAACCAAAAAGGTATAATAATGTTAGTAGAGAGGAACCAAGGGAGAGGAACCAAGGGCAAGTTTGGATGGACTGCTTGTTCTTGAGTTAGTGGTCTTCTTGATTGCTTTTAATTAAGGACTAAGGTCGGACTATATTTTCTAATTTACTTTAGTAGCGAATTGTGGTTTGCTGTTGCATTTTTTAATATACAGGGTTCAGAAATGAGCCTACTCATGAGCAGCTTGGAGTGGGTCAAATATCTCAGGACTATCTTATTGGGAAAAGTACATTTACTCATGGTCAGTGGTCCATCCAAAAAGAATGGAGCACAGTTCCATGCTGTGTTGGTGTCTATAATTTTATTAATTCACTTCTCTTTGTGGAAGTACCGATCTCTCTTTGTCGATAAATATATTGATATGAGAAAAAGTATCTTCAGAAATTACCTTATCTTGGAAGTTTCATGAAATAACGGTGGTGTTTACTGAATGTTGTTATTTAATGGGCAATGATTAGTTGATGGGTGCACAGCTATCAAAGCTCATTCCTTTTGGGACTCTGTTCGATAATAGATGCACCGATTGGATAAAATGGGCAGTCACATAGATCTATCTTGTTTCTTCCTTTCTTGACTTTAATCCTATCCTTTTGTCAGCCCATTTAAACTCTTCCATGCACCTGCACATAGTGATTACTTGATCTCTAATTGTTAGTGCTATTCAAGGAAAAGTAATTGGTGCGGCCTCTCTCTCAGCTGAAAATGCGTTGTGCCGCCTCATTTCTCTCGATTTTGGGTGATCATAGAACCAAAAATCGTCAAGTCTATCCTACTGACCCCCAACATCGAGAATTTGAAGCCCTAAAAGTGCTTCATCTTGAATGCCATATTCACATGCATTGTGAACCTTCTATTTCAATGGTCTTTCATGAATTTGGCGCCTTTCTTTATTTCTTTGTTCCTTCTAGAGTATATGTGGTTTTCTGAGGAGAAAATGGAATATAACATTTAGTGGCTTTTGCAGAAGTGAAGACCAGTAAAGACCATGCTGGATTGACCATGGAGGTCCCTAGTGAAGAAAATCTTCCAAAGGCCAGTTGAGGAGAGATTTTTTGTGATGTTTTGCCAATTGGTGGGGTCTTTTGTAATTTAAGATGTCTTACAACAAATGAATTTTTTGGATATTTAACCAGATTTGAAGTTTTTGAAGTGTTTGATTTTATGCGCATCTTGTTACGTTATTTGAGATGTTTATGCTAAGAGAAAATTAATGTGGAAGTTTCTCTCTCTCTCTAATGTATTCTTTCAAAGAAATTATTCAATCTCTCTCTGAATGGATTATTTTAAATTAGGACGTGGTAAGCATGCGGCCAGCCCGCATATTGTAGAAATATGGGCTCGACAATTAATATATTTTTTAAATATAATTTGATTCTAATTTTTTTAGAGAATATATCATCTTTAACATGAAGATCAGGAATATAAATTTTTTTTTTGAAAACTATAGATGATAATTATATTAAAAAAACATTTAGACCATTAGTTACAATTGTTTTTAGATGGACTACCTATTTGCATCAATTTTTAAGATGGATGCTTTATCCTTCTAGACTGCATATTGTAGAAATGCTATCCGGATTATGAAATAGTTGTTTTTTAAATTATTACCTCTCTTTGGGTGGTAAAATTGCTGCCTGGGTGGTACAATAATATTTGAGTAGTTGGGGTGTCAGATTTTTTTCATTCTCTCTCTACACTACATGGTTTGTGTCGTTAATTTGTACATCATCATTTATCACAAAATGCTAGGAATTGGAGGTTGAGCTTGGGTGGTTAGTAGTTGAAGTGAGGTAAAACTGTATCTCAAGTTTGAACCTAGAACATGTTTCTAATTAAGAGGCAAATCACTAAAATGCTTTCACTCCTACATGGTTACAAACCAGGAACAAAGCTAATTTGGACACTTTTAATAAAACTCTTTGAGTACCTACCTAAATGAAAGAAGGTTTTAAAGTAACCAAATCTTTAGTAAAATTATTTATTTAACCATTTCAAGGGGTTTAACCATTCGATTCATATTTTCCTTATAAAATATGCCAAAATCCTCTCACCTACAATACAAAACCCATAAATTTTCTTGTCATTGCCACTTAATAAGAAAGAGACATGGTATACTGGACTTTTCGGCTATGTATTTTGATATGGAAGGAGAAAATGATGGAGATGCCGTTTCCTAGGCTTAGCTAAACACAAAAATCTCCTTAAATGTGTACGTCGACACACAATGTGTGATGTATCTCACCTAAATATGAGGCCTTTTTTTAGTATGTATATGTTGATGCGTGAATTGTTAGGTTGCAATAATATTTTGATTGGTTTAGTACAAAGTAAAAATTAATTTTAATTAAAAATCAGTCAAAATTAACATCTAATTTTAATTAATTATATGAGTTAAATAAAATTCGACTTTTTTTTATTCTTTCATCCAACTAAGGTTTAAACTAAAGTCTGAAAACTATTTCAGTGGTCGATCCAATCCAACCATATACGGATCTCTGTCGAAAATGGACGAGTCTTAGCTATTATTACATAAAAAAAAAACTAAGAAATATATCTCAGGTAAATATGAAAACCCCTGTATATCGAGAGAGGGAGGGAGAGGTAAGACATTGAGAGAGAAAGCCTGGAGAGAGAGAGAGAGAGATGGATGAATATGGCATGAACTGTTGTCTCTCTTGTCTGTAAAATTGTTTTCCTGCAACACATAAAAAACAGAGGCGGGCCCACCCTGTGTTAATCTTCTGGCTAGGACGAGCCTTCTTATAGAACCAGTGACTAGATGTTGACAACTTTACGTTTCTCATGCTCAGAGAGAGAGAGAGAGAGAGAGAGAGAGAGAGAGAGAGAGAGAAGCTGTTAAAGATTTTTGAGATTCTGAGAGAGAGAGAGAAAAAGCGAGAAGCTTTTGTGATTTTGAGAGAGAGAGGGTGTTAAAAAAAATTGAGGTTTTACGGGTACAACAGATATTGAAACGAAAGGAAAGACATTTACTTGTTGTTATCTCTGCAACACAGTCATGGGTTCGCATCAGCGTTCATGGGGGGCCACCATTTGGACCCTTCCGTCACCCCTCACGGGTTTCCTATCCATTATTCTTATTCTCCCTCTTCTTCATCTCCTCTCTCATCCTATCTACCTGAGAAATCTGCAAATTTGTTCATCTTTTCTATCAATAAACCATCCATGGAAGAACAGAAGAACCCCATTTATCACACTGAACTTTCTCGTTCGTCGGAGCCTTCAAAACCCAGTTCTTCACGCCAACCCCCACCCTCCTGTGAACACAACTTTCACTCGGTTCAGGTCCTGGTCTCAATTGTGAGCACCTACATTGCCCAGTTCCTCAATGATTTCGAGAAGATACACTCTCTTCAAGTAAACTTCTTTTCGGGAATTGCTTCTTCGAAGAAACCAGTTTTCTTTGAGTTCTCGGACCAAGCAATTCTCGCAAACCTCTATTGGGGAGTTCAGGCATTGGAAAAAGCATTACCCTCTAAGAACAATGGAGTTAGAATTTCTAAATTGAGAAATGCAGAAAAATTGCTTCAAGTTCCAGCTTTAATTGATGAACATGGAACAACAAATGGGGTCTCCAACCGATACATCGTGGCTTATGCTTATTTTTATCTCTCTATGGTTTGGAAGCTTCAAAGAGATGAATGGCAAATGACTCATCACTTACTTCATGCCTTTTTAGTTAATCCTGGCTTGGTTCGCAAGGAAATTCTACCTGAATTGTGGGAGAAACTATTTTTCCCTCACATAAATGATACAAGAAATGGTGAAGTTTTGGATGAGAGAGAAAGGGTTTCTCCAGAGTTGGATGATGATTTGATTGATGAAAAAACAAGGTGGGTTGCTAGGAGATATAAGGATTTATTAATGTATCACTGTGTCGTGGCATATGGAGGGACTCCCCAACCATTAAGTGGATTCAGGTCTTTTTTTCATCCTAAATATATTTCTTTTATAGTTGTTACTTGTCAGTTAATACCATTGTTGATATTCATATTTATCTAGTAATTGCTTGTTCTAAGGAATGTGATCATATCATGGTTATCACCAACAATGACATTATGATCTATATTGTTATGATAATTGTTAATTGATGACAATAATGGGTATTATTAGAACCGTGTTTTCCCACTATGATGAGTTTTTGAAATTGTAGTGATTCAATTATGGGAGCACATGTGGTTGAACTTGAATGATTATTGGCAATTTATTATCCATTGGGTAGGAACTTACCCATTTCAGTGTTTGAATATTTGAACTGTAGAACATATTGTATCTTTATTTAAGGCATGGATTGACAAGGGGACCAAAACCTGTTCATGAATTGAGGGAACCCACCCTTGAACCTATGTCTCCAGTGCTTGTGTTGCATGGCTTTTGGTTCACTCTTAATTGAAAGCTCTACTAAGTCGTACCCATTATGATAATTTCTCTAAATCATTTTAAATGTGGTAGTTGCAGTATGATTTTTGAGTTTTAGATTGGAGTTAGTATATTGATGCTTACAGTGAAGAATTTGAGATTAATTCGGAGAGATGGAAAAACTGCTCTTTTTTTACGAGGAGCTAGCGGTGATGTTGAGGCATGATAGGAGTTGTCGATGAGAGTTCTTTTTTAGGCTTTAAGCTAAAGGCCATTTAGAAATGGAATGAAAACCATATCTTGGAACATTAATTTCCAGGATGAATAATACACTTCTATTGATTGTTCTCCTCAACACACTTAGTAGTATGAATCATTGGAAACCATATCTCATTGGTGTCTTCTCTGTCCAATGAAATAATGGACAATAGAGTTGGGTGTTCATGTCCTGTTCTTGTGGCCTTGCTCTTCCTCCAATTCCACCCATGTCCCAGTGAACTATAATTTCTGTAGTCCATTGGTTTATAGTGTAATTACTCTTCTGATTTGTGCAAATATATATATATATATATATATGTGGAAGACACGATAAAATGCCTATAGGTGAAGTTCTACAGTACTTCACATACACATCATCACTGTCCAAAGTTCATCATATGGTCACAACTGTCCGGTAGTATTTGAATTTTTATAATTATTGTACTAATCAGATTTATCTAAAATTTGGAACATGTGTACATATGACCAAGTTGCACCAAAATAAAATATTAAAAAAATAATATTTACTAAGGGGTATTTTGCATAATTTGTATCATTCAAATTATTTGCTTTATATTTTATTCATGTGCATCTCACTAAGGT